TGCCACACTTCCCAAGCGGCGCACTGTAGCAGTGCGCCACCGGGCCGGCCCATCTCCCCCATTTCTGATAAGCTGTTTGGAGAAGCAAGACATGAACCAACATGTGAAACATCATACAAAGGATTTGTATAACAGCCCAAGACAACAACGGAACAGCTGTGAGGGGGCATATNCAGAGTGCCTCCTGCTCTCCACCTGGCTTCCTCCTTCCCCACGTCTCCCTCTTGCCTCTCCATTCTTTGGACTTCTTGTGCTCCTTCCTTTCTTTTTTCCTCTCCTTTTGCTTTTCTTGAGTCACCTACAGACCTTCCCAGGGCCTCTCCCCCAAGCACTTATTCTCTGAGCCTATGTGTCTTGGGAAACTGACCCAGATCTTACCAAGCTCACGGAAGATTATTTTGCCTTGTGACACTGCATATCCTGATGCTTTGTGACATCAGTAGTGAGCCAAACAAGTTTTCCTGTTAAAAATGTGGTTTGGTTGATGATCAGGAATATTTCAGGGAGGAAGAGATCAGAGTGGGTATAGCAGAGGTGAGGGACAGCACCATCCGTCCAAGGACAAGGAGCTAAGCTCTTTCCTGCTTTCAGCCTCGTAAGCACTCGCAGCACTGAACTCTCCCTTAACAGAGCCCAGGTGAGGGACAGCACCATCCGTCCAAGGACAAGGAGCTAAGCTCTTTCCTGCTTTCAGCCTTGTAAGCACTCGCAGCACTGAACTCTCCCTTAACAGAGCCCAGCTGGTGTTACTGGGGAAAGTGCCGCAGCCAGGGGGAATGCAGAAACTGCTTTGTGTGGGGTTCTGAGAAAGGGGACCCAGGAAGGTGATTGTGACAAAGATGAACGGACTATCTTCCTGCTAATATTGCTTGTTACTCATTAACAAGCCTGTGAAGAAAGCATCTTTAAGAGAAGACCTTTAACAAAAGAACTTTTCTTGCTTTTATTCCGTGAACTCCAGCACCCTGTCCCACCACCCCCTAAGAGACTTAAAGTACTGTCATTTTCAGAATTCCATTACTTCTAGGTCTGTTAGTAATGTTTCCTGTGAGACCTGATGACTGTGTCTCCCTTTCTGCTGCACTGCTGTAGGCTGAGGACAGGGTCTTTGCCTTCCTCTGTTCCACCCATTTACCCATCCAGAAATGCACCCACCAAGCATTTGCTGGGCTTATACTTTTTGTGCAAAGCTCTCTAATGGCTACTCTAGAAGACATACAAAGATAAAGAAGAAATACAAAGATAAAGAAGACATATTCGATGCTTTTAGGGACTTCAATCTGTAGAGGAGGCACATCTAAACACAATAAATCAGACAGAAGAGATTTTATAGAACTTGCAATGATTTTTCTCTTTGCCACTTTCAAAGTGATATGTATGGTTCTTTAAAAACATGCTTCCTGCATCGGATGCTCTTTTCTCCTCTATGAAATCCAGGAAGGCCAAGTGGATCCTTTAAGGAAAGAGAGGGTTTGGGACAGACCAAGAGACAGGGACAGACATTGGGATCAGGATGGACACTGCCAACCCCAAGATTATCAATCAGCAGAGCACATATGCTGGGACCAGAATCAAGCCTGGCTCCATGTCACACCTTAGGACCAAAAGAGACTTGTGTAGCCTGAATGACAGTAGCAGAGGCAATGTTTACTTCTCCAGATGCCTTTGCACAATTTACTGCCCTTTCTGCAAGAGCATAACAACCAAGAGCATGACAAGAGTCGTGGCACACTCATCCCTTTAAGAATTCATCACTGGGTTAGCTGGTTTTGGGGAAAAGATTTAGGAAAGGAGCTGGCGAGGAGTGGGGGAGGGGTGGTGCACCGAGTAAACTATAGACTTGGAGAAAATATTTTTGGACGAGCAGTCATGTGTTTGGCACAGTTTTGAACCAAGTGATAAATAAGGAGAATTTGGGATAGGTTCTCCACCTTTTCAACCAGGTCTAGCAAGGGTTCTAAAGTCGCTCTAAGTAAAATGGATAAGAGAAGCCTCTATACGGCTGAGTCCAAACATGGCCCTCAAGACAACCTTCCTTATTTAACTAGGAGATCAGTCGATTTGACACATATTCGGGATGTTTGGGAAAGGCTGAAGAGAGAATGTGTGCCCCACCTGAGCCTTGAAGGATGACTAAATCACAAGGTGCACACAAAGTAGGGAAAGAAAATCTAGACAGAAGAAAGATGGAGATGCGGAAAGGCTGGGGTGCAGGGCCGAGGTTTTAGAAGCAGATATCATGAGAAGCCTAGAAGGACGGCTAGTTTAGAGCCTGCAGGTCGCATGTTAACGGACAGCAGGCTGCTAGTGGTGGCATACTGGGAAGAGGGGGCTGAAGGAGGGAAAGTCCAGCCACAGGAACCCCAGCGGGTGGGAAGAGTCCAGGGGCTCCAGTGTTTCTTCTACTAGGAGGACTGTTTCTGGAAGCTGCACAGGGATACCACAGAAAAATCTGTTACAAATGGAAGTTTGGTAGACGATACACTTAGAGCCCAGGGTCACCCAGCAGCAACTCCAGTGGAATCTGTGTTCCCCCTCCTTTGGGTGGTTAGATCTCCTCTGGGCCCCTCTTCCCCAGCCCAAGACTTAAATTTCTGAAGAGACTTGCCTCGGGAGTTATCTCTCTTTTATTAAGGTACCACTTGGATAGTGTACACACAGCACAAGCAGAAACTGAAAACCCACACACAGAATAAATTATGAAATTCATATTTAAAAGCAAATGATAGAAGTAGCTGTGCTATCAGGAGGCCTCCTTGTCCAGTGTCTGGAGAGTTATAAGGTGTCAGCAGCCCCCTACAGTCTGTGATAAATCTGTGAGATGTTTCAGAGCCAAATGTCCCCCTCTGTGCATGTCTGATGAGGCCCAAACTCCTTCATGCAAACACATGCACACCCACAGAAGTACCCATGGGAGTGGGGGCAGGGGATGGCCTGTAAATGACAACCAGCTTAGCAGCAAGCAAGGTGGACGCAGCTGTGCCCTCTCTGTGGCTTTGGCTGCGGACAAGTCCCTGGCACTCATCCTTCACCAACTCCCCCGTTCCCTTGGGAGGTGCAGGTGAGCCCTCGGGGCAGTGGGGAAGTGGAGGCTGCTTCCCTAGACCAGGAACCCAGTGTTGCTGTCCTGGACTGCAGGGTGAGCACGTCGCAGCTTTCTTACGCTACTCCTGCTTTACTGTCTGGCCTGCCAAGCCCCGCCTGCCACTCCCAAAAGAAAAAGTGAAGAGATGTGTCCCCAGGAAAATCCACCAACTTGCAGCAAGTCCTCCATCAGCCACTCTCCAGCAGTGTGATGTTGGGGAAGTTATTTTAGTTTTCTAAGCCTCATATTCCTCACGTCTAAAAATGAGAGTGTCTACTTCACAGGGTTATTATAAAGAATTACTGAAATTTGATATTGCCAAATACTGAGCCAGATTCAAGTTCAATGTTCAAAACTTGTTTTCTTTCCTGAATTCTTGTCCTCCATTTCTTCCTTTCTATATCCCCATTTTGTTTTCAGGTTTATGTGTCTGTTGCTGGTCATATAACCCCAATGGCACTAAAAGCACCTCTTGACAAATGGGACTTCCCCTCTCCCAGCAGAGATTGAGCCTGTGCTTCCCCCAGTACAAAACAGCACCACCAGGAGAGTCAAGGGGATAGGCCACAGGACCAGGAGATAGTCTGGGTCTCAGGTTCCATCCCAGCCAGGAGAGATGTGGGTAGCCTGTGGGCATAGGGAGACCTGACTATCTCAGGGATGACTGTGAGGTGCCATAATGGTGGAAAGACAAGAACAAGAGAGTGATGCAAGGTGGCTCTGCAAAAGGCCAGTTTGATGGGTGACAATCCACAACTCAGGTTCTGCAGAAATTTCCCAACCATCTCTCCATCTGTCTGTCCATCCAGCCATCCATCTGGTATATGTAAAGAGTTTTGTAGAATGCAGGCTGACCCAGACAGAAACCCCGTGTGCTCATTTAGCACCTTCTATCCAAGGAGTGAGTATCTTTCATAGTCATACATCTAGAGTCTTTTACAGTAATGTTGTGAGGTAGTAACAAGACAGGCAACATTCCTCTTTCCATGGATCAAGAAGTGCTCTGAGTAACACAGTGAGTGGAGCTGAGGCATGGTAAGGGCTGGCTAAATGCAGGGTGCTGGTCTGCTCCCCTCCTGCAGGCTCTGCTGTGGCTTGTCCTGACTGACCTCTGCGTCTAGGCCAGCTCTGCTCCTTTTCACACCAGCGTGGGTTTCAAGTCATCTTTGAAGTTCACTATAGGCTTGGAGCGGGCCCACAGCTTTCCCCAGGAAGCCAGCCCTGCAGCAGGCTCGGGGTCAGTGTCTGATGTCCCACTGTCACTGGAATCAGAGGAGCTCTGGAAGCAGATTTCACAGTAGGGCCGGTGGCAGTGGCAGAAGAACTCATCTGAGCTGCTGGATTCAGTGTCAAGGTAGTTGCACGGAGGAGAAGACAGAGAGGGGTAGCCTGGGGACACTGGGGGCCACAGCTGCTGCTGCTCAGAGAGGTCTAGTGAGGCTGGTAGGCATGGGGCTGGGGAACTTTGTGCCTGGCCAGAAGCAGAAGGCTGGTGAGAAAGGGCTGTGTGGCCCCCTCCAACCCCCTGCAGCTCTGTCTGGCCTTGTTTGCTGCCCTCCAGGACGCCCAGCCTGCCTTGAGGATCTGGGAGTAGTGACGGCTTCTGGGAGGAGGGTCTTGGTATCCTGGAATCAGCAATTTGGGAGTCCAGGCTGGGGCTGTCCCCATTCTGCACATTCAGCCCACTGTGTGCCCTAGAAACAGTCCTGTTTGCCCGATGCCCCACAGAAGAGGGTACAGAGCCAAGAAAGTGTGAGCGAGCCCGTGGAGCTGCCCGCCTTCGCCTCACCATGTATGGGCTGAAGCCCAGCTCCTTCTGGGGGCTGTGGGCAGCACTGCTCTTCCAGGACTGCTGGGGACAAGATGGGGCAGAGGAGAGGGGAGCCTCAGGGCCCAGGCCCAGATCTTGTAAGACTTCCTGAAGCTTCTCCCTGATCACTGAATTGACCCTTGGTAGCCGCTCTGGGGGCTCCTCTGAGTTCTCTGGCTGCCTCTGTCTCTGAGGATCAGAGCCCCCTCTACCTGGTATTAGACTCCAGTTGGGGGCCATGGATTCCTGGTCTCCTTTTTTTAGACACTGGCTTTTCTCAGCCCGTGGCTTTGGGCTACAACCTGAGTCCAAATGATCAGAAAAGTCCTTCAAGTCAAATATCTTTTCTTTCTGCCCTGGGGAGGTGCCAGTGTCCTTCACAGGCCCTTCAAAGTTTTGCATCTGTGAGGAGGGCACTGAGGTGTGCTGGGAGTCCTGGGCGGCCATGCTGGTATCATTCTGAGAGCCAGAGAGGCATTCTGGGGGCCCCTGAGCTGCTAGACCACGGGCAGAGGCTGCAGCCTGGATGTCCTTGCTCTGGGAAGAGGCAGGTGGGACAGCCCTCTCTGGGGGGTCATAGGTGCACTCAGCTGACATCAGTCTCACTAGCTTCTCTTTGGCGTTGTTTACTTGTTCCTGCAGGCTTTCAATCACAGCATTTTTCTGTAAAATAAAAACAAACCCATCAATAAAAGATGTCGCTGAGGGTTTTAAACTGTCTCCCATGATGGAGAAAGTGTGGCATCAGAAGACTTTGGTTTAAGTCCCAGTTCCTCCAGTGTATTGGCTGGTGACCTCAGACTCTGAGGAGGTATCTTCGCCAGGAAAAATGAGTTTTAATGCATGTAAAGTGCTTAGCACAATAAATGACATATGGTGTTCAATGAAGGCTAATCATGATTTATTGCTGAATTATTGGAGAAACTTAAAAAAAAAAATTCAGTAGCTCCAGAACGGAGCCCAGGGGATGAATGAGGCTGGGGCAGTTTTGCTGCTGAGCTGTCTATCTGCTGCATGGATGTTGGTGGATAAACAGGCTGTTCCCAGGAGGGCTGGCAGGTGAGAGGTGTGCCTGCCCTAACTGCAAGATAGTGGGACGTGGAGTAGGAGTAGCAGTATCGGCAGTGGGTGTACAGGGCAGGACTGAACCCTGGACACTTTTCTGTGGTGCAGCGGCTGATTGTCTAGCTCAGACTTTACATCCACCTTCAGAAATTTCTGATGCTCAAAGGCGGGGGAGCAGAGATGAGATCTTCTTAGGGAAATGATGGTCTTGGTGCAGATATGAGAAGGGGTTGAGGGTTTGGGCAGTAACATAAGCATCACGTTCTAGGGTGTGCTGGTCTGAATACCTGTGTGCTGCCTTTTTTGTTGCCATCCTCTTTAGAAGTAGAGGATGAGCATTTGGACAGCCATTTATTATGCCCTAGAAACAAAAAAGCATGTTCCATTTTTGAAACCATTAGTACAAGTTGCCACAGGACTGAACTTGTGATTTCTCCTCAAGTTTACATGGGAGAGTTGTCCAGAAATGATCCTTTAAGGGAGCAGTAACTTAAGTAAAATAGCCCCATAAATCTTCTGGCAGCAACTGCCCAGTCAGAGCCACTGCTCCCCATGTATAAGCAAGACAGAGGTTTTCCTGATAGCTCCCAGTTTCTACCTGGTTTAGTCTACTTCTTTTACCAGCAGGAGAGAGTCCAGGACCAGTGACGGACTGGTGACTAAGGCAGAAGGGACTTTCAGCTGAGCACCGGCCTGTCTGTCTTCCTCCTCCCACCCCACAAAGCAGTGAGGTCTGGGTGTTGCTGAGTGAGTGCAGATAACTCAAGGACTCATCAGGAACAGAGCGGATGAGTAACAGGGAGACATTCAGGCTCTTCATGACATCTGGGCTGTGCCAGGTAGCTCTCTGAGGATCTCACAGGGGTGACTATGATGGCTGCATAGGAGGGACCTTGGCTCTCTTCTGCCTCTCCCAGCCCCTCCTCCCAAAGCCCACCCTGCACATTCTCATGCTGCCTTCAGGAGGCCTCTACTGCCTCGCAAGTTAGGAAGAAGCCATTAGTTGATGACAACTACTCCACCAGTTTGTAAAAGTGCTGCCTTTTTGTACAGCACACAGTCCTTCGAGCATAGAAAATAGTATAAACATTGAGTTGGGGAAAATAGTCTTCTCCCAGCTAACCAAACATCTGAAGCTGGCTAGTGACAGATTTAGAAACGACAACCTAAACAGTAAATTTCCCTTCTTCCAGAAAAGGAAGTGGGACTCTGTTTTCACCATGGCTGCATACTAATGAGAGGCGTGTGTGAAGCACAGCCACTGAGAGACCCAAATCTGACCTACGGTGGCAGCTGCACTGAAATGAGCTTATTAATCATTACATTTGGCACAGTGGGGGAAGCAAAATGCCCAGAGGTATGTTTCATAGGGTGCAGGCTGGAAGGAGAAATGGACTCAACCTCGTTTCTATGGCTCAAAGAAGAAACATAATAGGCGGGTTTGCTGGGCTGCAGAGTGTAGAAGGGAGGCCTCTGACCTGTGGGAAGGTGGTGTTTGCTGGCCCTCACACACACAGGGCAGTCTGACTCCCGCTGTTCCAAACAGCTTCTGGGGCACCTCTGGCTAGGTGCAAGAGGGGCAAGAATGGGAAGATGGACTGCCCAGATCATGGGAAAGTAAGACAAAGGCAAGAGGATGGCAGAAGTGGCTGTGCAGGAGGGAACTGCATGCCGTGAAGCTGGAGTCAGGGCTTGTGCACATTCGGAGGCAGAACAGATACTTGTGTTTATCTAACAGGCAGTGTTGGAGCTGGGGACACAGATACTTGGACCTTTCTAGGTCTGCCACCAGGTCCTAGGACTGGCTGCTGGTTCTCAGACCTGTTGTGGGAAAGATGTTCCAGGCATAGCAGGTGCTGGGGAGCCAGCTTTTTACTGCCTATGCATCTGTACCCGTTTAGGCCCTTCCTCTGCAGATTCACGGCATCCTTTCGGACAGAGCAGATGCAGTCACTGCAGGGAAACAGGGAAGCATTGCAGAAGTACAAAAAGCATGTCACACATTACCATAAGGCTGAAGAGTCAGTCCACTTGGCTGTTCCAACATTAGCTGATTGTAAATGAAAACTTGGGCCGGCCCGGTGGCGCACTGCTACAGTGCGCCACTTGGGAAGTGCGGCGGCGCTCCCGCCGAGGGTTCGGATCCCACATACGGACCGGCCGCTCACTGGCTGAGCGAGGAGCGGGGGC